TTGCACCAATTAATATATATGGGACATTGTGATAAAAGCTCCGAGGGACCTACGTGAGTTGCTATGAGGGCTTGTAATAGGAGTGGTGACCGAGTGTGGGGAGGTCAGGAAAGAGCTTTCTGAGGAGGTGACCCTCAGGAAGACCCAAGAGAGTATGGGAGCAGGTGGAGGAAGAAGGGTATCACAGGTAGAAGCAAAAGTAGATGCAAGGGGCCAGGCGTGGTGGCTCACCACTTTGGGAGGCTGAGGTGGGCAGGTTGCTTGAGGCCAGGAGTTCGAGACCTGCCTGGGCAATATGGTGAAACGCTGTCTCTACTAAAAACACACACAAAATTTAGCTGGGCTTGGTGGCACATGCCTGTAATTCCAGAGAGTCTGATGCAGGAGAATTGAATCGTTTGAACCTGGGAGGAGAAGGTTGCAGTGAGCTGAGATCATGTCACTGCACTCTAGCATGGGTGACAGAGTGAGATCTTCTTTCTCTCTCTCTCAAAAAAAAAAAAAAAAAAAAAAAAAGACATTCAAAAAAAATATAGAAACCTCTATTTGTCATACTTTTAAGGTTTACCTTGTAGACAACATACAATTACATACATAATGTTTAAATAGCATCAGGGATGTATTTGGAGAGGAATTGTGTGTGAGATACGAACACAGAGAAAACACAGACCTGACTGTGTTTTCACTGAATTTTTGGCACTTAATCCTATTTTAAATTAATGATGGCTTCCATTTTTTAGTCTTTTGTGGGAAAAATGCAAGAAAACTGATTATTTCTACCTGCCGCAAGATACTTTGTCAGTTAGCACCAAACCTGGAATCTAGACTCCTCTAGCCAAAAGCCAGCGTCATCTAATACCCCCCAATAATGCAAACCAGCAATGCAAAGAGAAATGGAAGATTTCATGTCCCAATCTCTCAAGAAAAAAAAAAAAAAGAGTAGATGCAAGGTTCCTGCGGTGCGGGCATGCTTGGTTTACTGCCGGGACAGCAGGGAGCCCATTGGGCTATAGAGTCACAGGATGAATTTGGGGATGAAGTATAGACCTGGCCACACAGCCCTGATGATCACACTAGAGTCTGTACTGTATCCTAAGAGAAATGGAAGGTTTAAGTATAGAGATGATTTTTCAGAATTTCCCTTTAGAAAGATCCTTCTGGCTAGCAGCAGTGGCTCACGCCTATAATCCCAGCACTTTGGGAGGCCGAGGTGGTAGTGTCACCTGAAGTCAGGAGTTCAAGACCAGTCTGGCTAACATGGGTGAAAAGGCCACCTGAAGTCAGGAGTTCAAGACCAGTCTGGCTAATATGGCGAAACCCCGTCTCTACTAAAAACAAAAATTAGCTGGGCGTGGTGGCGGGCGCCTGCAATCCCAGCTACTCGGAGGCTGAGGCAGGAGAATCGCTTGAACCCGGGAGGCGGAGGTTGCAGGAGCTGAGACGCACTCACCGCACTCTCTAGTCTGGGCAACAGAGTGAGATTCCCATCTCAAAACAAACAAAAACAGCTCCTTCTAGGCTGCTGGGCAGACAGAGACTGACAGATTCTTAGTGAAAACAGAGTAAGAACTTCCATGAGGAGGATTGAATTTTATCCATAAAGTGCAAGAAGCCAACACGGGGAAGAAAAGAGCAGAAAAGAAGTGAAGGACACAGATCGCATCTCAGGCTGGCCTTGGTCTCTAGCAATTACGACTACAACACTGGGCTCCAAGGAACTCAGGAGCAGGTCCTCTGGCTGGGATCTGACGCTCCTCTCAGCTCCTGCCCCTTAATCACCTCTCTGCCTGGTCCTGCCTTGGGGATACACAGTGAGGACTAATATCAAGGCTGGGCAAACAGCGAGGAAGGCAGGAGGTGTGGGCTTCAGGGAAAAGTGAAGGCTGAGTAACAAAGCAGAGACGAGGACAGGGTCCCGTGAGGGGGACTGGACAAAGCCAGCAGACAGGGAGGGCTGTTCCACCCTGGGGGCATGGGGAGTCACTGTCACCCCGGACTCGCTGTGTTTTCACTGAACCTTTGCACTTAATCCCATTTTAAATTAATGATGGCTTCTATTTTTAGTCTTTGAGGGAAAAATGCAAGCGATTTAGTTTTTAACGTGAGATAAGGCAGTCACTTTGAACACCTGATGGGCAACACTCAAAATTCAGCAATCAAGATAAATTATATTTATGCATTTTTTTTTTTTTTTTAAGATGAAGGTCACCTGTCACTTGCATGGGAGTGCAGTGGCGCTATCTTGACTCACTGCAACATCTTGCCTCACTGGTTAAAGCAATTCTCCTGCCTTTCCCAGGTAGCTGGGACCACATGCGGGCAATTCACAACCTAGCTGATTTTTGTATTTTTAGTGAGAGATGGGGTTTCACCATGTTGGCCAGGCTGGTCTCGGACTCCTGACCTCAAATGATCTGCCTGTCCCGACTCTGAAAGTGCTGGGATTACAGGAGTGGTTTCACCACACCTCGCCTAATGCAACATTTTAAAACCAAAATGAATGCCAAAAAAAAAAATCATGGTGAACAAAATGTCAACATTTTAAATAATGTTAAAGGAGGTGAGTGTGCCCTTCACCTCACCGACGCCCTCCTTTGGGTCTAGAATATGCCATGTATAAAAACAACACTAAGCCCAACTTCTTAAGTGAGCTTTTAAATTTTATACAAGGGTTACTACTTAAATAAAGGAAGGAGTAATCACAAAGCTTATTTCACTTCTTAGAATGCATGGACATTGGTTAACTAAACCAAGGATGGGGCTGGTTTGTTTTTCTGATCACTTTACATGGGGAACTGCAATGATACATCTGGATATAACCCAGAAGCCACATTTCCTGCACTCTTCAACCACGCAGTCTGGATTTTACCCGTTTCCCAGCCTATCCAAGGCATCAGAACCAAAAAAGTGACCAGCTAGAAAGCACGCCACAATCTGCACATGTGGGGTATGCTATGGTATAAACATCTTGTGCATGACAACTCCACGTGATGGGGGTGAAGTTTAACATTTGGATCCTTTGCATTTAGGAGGCAAAGGAGCACTGCCTCAGATATTGCAGTTATGCCCTGGAACTTTAATACAACTCAGGCAGATTTTTTTTTTTTTTTCAAAGAGTTTAATTATTATTATTATTTTTTTTGAGACCAGGTCTTACTCTGTCACTCAGGCTGGAGTGCAGTGTGGCACACCACTGCTTCGTCAGCCTTGTCTCTGGGCTCAAGCAATCCTCCCACCTCAGCCTCTCGAGTAGCTGGTACTACAGGCACATGCAAGCCATGTCTAGGCTAATTTTTTTGATTTTTTTTGTAGAGATAGGGTTTCACTTTGTTGCCCAGGTTGCATCTCTTGAACTCCCCAGGCTCCAGTGATCCTCCTGCCATGGCCTCCCAAAGTTTTATGGAATTGAGAGATATGAGGTACTCACGCCTGGCCCAATTTAATATTTTAATGTGACACTTCCTTTGTATTAACATGTTCACTAAAAACAAACACAGAAGTACTTAAAGCCAGTTTGGCTAAATCCCATAGTGTATCCTAATTCTCTGACACTGGGTGATTCTTCCTAAACCCAGCCAAGGACAGAGATTGGCTCCTGGGCTCATTCCATCACACAGGAATTTGCCTTTGTTTTCAATCCAGCTCTTCCCCTCTCTTTCTGAAGTCAGAATATCCCAGACTTCCTCTTCACAGGCTCCTGGAGAAATGTCTACTTCTTTTACCCCCAGCTCTCATTTAAAGAATAGGTTCAATCTCAGCTTTTCCACACCGAGTGATGAAACCTTTAGATAATTAACTTAATCTCTTATAACTTAGCTTCCTTTATCTTCAAATAGAACTTGGCTAAAAGTCACACGGCTCATGCCTGTAATCCCAGCATTTGGGGGAGGCTGAAATGGCAGGATTGCTTGAGACCAGAGTTCAAGGCTAGCCTGGGCAACATACCGAGATCCTGTCTCTACAGAAAATACAAAATTACCTCTTGTAGTGGGCATGCAATTCGTTGCGCGAAGCCGAGGCTGAGGTGGAGAATTGTTGAGCCCGAAGTCGACGCTGCACTTAGCCATGATTGCACTATCGCACTCCAGCCTGGGCAACAGAGCAAGACGGTCTGTACCAAACCAACCAACAAACAAACGGGTAGAGTTAGTAATCCTGTCTTCGGGCGAGCATCCTGCGTGTTAAGCACCGCAAAGCCCGCCACAGTCAATATCGGGGAAATGCAAACCAAAACCGCAATAAGTGAAACCACTAGATGTCTAGTAATAAAAAGTCAGGGCTGGGTGTAGCGACTATGCCTGTAATCTCACCACTTGGGAGGCCAAGGCAGATCGCCTGAGGTCAGGAGCTCAAGACCGTCTACAACATGGTGAAACCGTCTCTACTTGAAAATACAAAAATTAACCAGGCGGGTGGCATAAAGGCCTGCATCCCAGCTACTTGGGAGGCTGAGGCAGGAGAATTGCTTGAACCCAGGGGAGTGCAGAGGCTGCATTGACTGGAAGACTGCGCCTACCACACTCCAGCCTGGGCGAGCAGATGAGACTCCGTCAAAAGAGCAGAAAAAGAAAAAAAGAAAAGAAAAGAAACAAGGAGGAGAAAGAGAGTTATTAGAGATAGAGAGGCACAGAACAGAAAGAGACAGAGAAAAGGGAAAGGAATGTGAAGGAGGGAGATAATGGTGTTGATAGGAGCAGGGAGGAAGGATGAAGGAAGGTAAGGAGGGAGGGAGGCAGAAAGGAATAGAGAGAAGGAGAGGAAGGAGGGAGAGAGGAAGGAAGGAAGAAGGAAGGAAGGAAGGAAGGAAGGAAAGAGGGAGTGGAGGGAGAGAGGAAAGAAAGAAAGAAAGGAGGAAGACTGGGCGTTCCCATTCACTAACTTTGTGAGAAAGCCAGCCATTTCCAGCAATTTGTGAAACAGGTAGGCCGATAGTGTCTCTTCATGGCGGACATGGCAACCTCTCAGCTCCCTTGTTCCTGTGGAGGCTGAAGATGATGGGGTCAGGAGGAACTAAGGCAGGACCTGTAGGTGATGCCCATCAAGGTGTCACCTTCCAGAGACTGAGGACCTTTGGGCTTCAGAATCCACAGAGGCAAAGCCATAGTGCACAACCACACCCTATGAGGTGAGAGGCAGCGAGGTGGAGAAGGCCTTGTTCTGCCTTCAGCAGAAGGGATCTTTCAAGATGGCGGCCACGATGAAGGGTGACAGGAGAGAGGATGAGGAGAAAACAGCCCAGCAGGGCTTTCGTGATACACACTAGAGCCCACGCTTGGCCAATGTAAATTTCAATTACACATCGTGCCCACAGGCCAACTCTCGCCAGAGGTGGTACGTGGCAGAAGAAATGGTGGATTCCACCAGGTCTGACAGAAGGTGAGGTGGAAATGGCTGGGTCACCATCAGGCCCCATGACGGAGCGCCAGCCCAGGAGCAGCCCATCAGGCATGGCCTCGCGGGCTCGCGACACTTGTAGCGCAGGGGGCGGCAGATGCCACGTAGCGGTCGTAGCCCATGACGGTGAGCAGGACAGAGGTGAAGCCGCTGAAGGAGAAGAACATCTGACTGGCACAGCCAGGAAGGCGGGCTTTGAGCGCTGCGCGGACAGCAGGTCGCCAGCATGCCGGGATGAAGTGCCACGGTAAGGATCTCGGAGACTTGAGAGAGGGCGCACAGGAAGAGGTACATGGGCGTGTGGAGGCTTCGCTGGCTCCAGACGGGTGGCCACAGATGAGCAGGTTGCCCAGCAGTGTGAACAGGCAGCATCAGCAGGAACAGCAGGAAGAGCATCAGCTGAGGGGAAGTGAGGCTTCCACGAGATGAATTCAGACGTGGAGGTAGTTTAGCCCCAGCATATGCCTAGTTGGGGAAGAGAGGAAAGAAGATGCCAGCAACAGGAGCATGGGGGTGTCTAATGACCTTACCTGGGAGGACATCTGACCTCCTTCATCTGTCCAAGCCATGGTTACTCCATGTGCAAAAACAGTTATTTATTTTTATTTTGTATTTTTTGAGATGAAGTCTCACTTGTCAGCCAGGCTGGAGTGCAAGGTGGTGTGATCTCAGCTCACTGCAACCTCTGCCTCCTGGGTTCAGTTTACTCTGCCTCACCAGAGTAGCTGGGATTACAGGTATGTGCTACTGGGTAATTTTTGTATTTTTAGTAGAGATGGGGTATTTGTGCATGTATGGCTAGGCTGGTCTCGAACTCCTGACCCCAGTGATCCACCTGCTTCGGCCTTCCAAATGTTGGGATTACAGGCTGAGCCACTGCACCGGCCAAAAATAGGTTAATAATAATGTGCTCAGGTTTAGCCCGGGAAATGTGATGGCTACACTCCATGTCATCTCTATCACTTCGGGAGGCTGAGGCAGAGGGGCTGGTCTGAGCTGGCGAGTTCACATCACCCTAAGTAATATAGCAATTCACTCTACAAAAATAAAAATAAAAAAATTAACCAGGCATGGTGGCTATGCCCGGTCCCAGCTACGTGAGAGACTGAGGCAGGAGGATCACTGAGCCTAGGAGCTTGAGACTAGCCTGGGTAAAGAAAAGATCCCCAACTCTGCTGTGCGTGATAGGAGAGAAATGAGCACAGGCGGTGGGCAAAGGTCTGTGATCCCGGCTAGCTGGAGAGGCTGAGGTGGGGAGGATCTATTGAGCTCTGGAAGATGGAGGCTGCAGTGAGCTACACGGAGCCACTGCACTTCAGCCTGGTGATAGAGCGGAGATGCTATCTCATAAAACAAAACAAACTGTTAAGGTTTAAATAAGATCATGCATCTTGTTTGCTTTGCACATAGGTCTTAGCCCAGCAGTAAGAACCCTGCCACAAAAGGTAATACTGATAAAATAATAACACCTTCCTGTTTTTAAGTCCCAGTGATCTCTATTCAGTTGACCTGGGTTGGACTCCCACTTGTAGCTAGCAACCGTGGTTGATCCCTTGGATTGTTGTGAGCCTTGTTTTTCTATCCCTAAAAAAGAAAGTGATAATAATCCCAAATTGACGGAGTTGTTATGATGATTTGGCCAAGATTATGCTCATAAGGTACCTTGCCAGGCCTGGAATAAATACTTAAGAATGGAGGTTATAGCCGGGCACGGTCGCCTCCTGTAATCCCAGCACTTTGGGAGGCCAAGGCGGGTGGATCACTGAAGTCAGGAGAGCAAAATCCAGCCTGGCCAACATGGTGAAATCCCGCCTACTAAAAATATAAGATTAGCTGGGTGTGGTGACATGCACCTGTAATCCCAGCTACTTGAGAGGCTGAGGAGGAGGAACCACTGGAGCCCATGAGGTGAGGCTGGGTGACCTGAGATCACACCACTGCACTCCAGCCTGGGCGACAGAGTGAGACCCTGTCTCTGGCAAGCAAAGAAAGCAAACAAACAAAAGAATTTAAGTTTGAGGACAGGTATGGATAGTCAGACTCAGGTTCTGTTAAATTGTAGCAAGTGCCAGCTATAAGAAAGACCCAGGTGTTCTGAGCATTCTGAAATAAAATTGAAACTAAGATAAGAGACCTCAACACTACCTATATTTAGAACATAAATATTATTGAATTACGTGACATTGCCATGTGCACATATCACTGAATAATCTTTGGAATAAAAGGAAAAACTAAAAATACAAGAACAAACAAATGATAATGAAAAATAGAAATAATAACTAAATGAATGAAATTGTGCCTCAGAACATAAAGAGGGAATTAATACAAACTGGCAAAAATTCTATAAGATCTATGCACTGTGGGTGAATATGGCTAATTGTAACTTATCGCATATTTTCAAAAAAGCTAAAAGAGAGGATTTTTTTTTTTTTGAGAATATCACCTAGGCTGAGAATTTGGTCAAGAATTCATGCAAACAAAGGGGATACACTTAACAAATTGAACAGCCTGTAGTGGGGTGCAGTGAAAGTGATAGAAGTAGAGACATATGATACAAATGGAATAAATAAAAATGAATCACCTTTGTTGTGCATCAATGATGATCAAATAAGGATGATAAAATATCATTGAGGAGTTGTGGAGTACATCTGCAGTTTAAGTCCAACAAAACTTGTGTGTGTGTGTATGTGTGTATGTATCATATAATTATGGATATCTTTAATTGAATCCGAAACCTACTGTTTTTTAATTTTATTTTATTTACTTTATTTTTGTTTGGTTTGTTTTGAGATGGAGTTTGCTCTTATTGCTCAGTTTGAGTGCGTGGCATGATCTCAGCTCACTGCAACCTCTGCCTCCTGGGTTCAAACCATCTCTGCCTCAGCCTCCCTATAGCTGGGATTACAGGCTTCGCCACCACGCCTCGGCTAATTTTTGTGTTTTTAGTAGAGACAAGATTTTGCCATGTTGGCCAGGCTGGTCTTGAACTCCTGTCCCCAAGCGATCTGCCTGCCTCGCCGCCACCGGGATTGAGTTGGGATTATATATGTGAGCCACCACCTGCAGCCTCTATTTGTAATTTTGTGTCTTTAAACATTCCTATCTCTCCCTTCTGCCTTACCCTTCCCCAGCTCTAGTATCCTCTGTCCTACTTTTACTTCTATGAGAAAGCTACTGTTTTGATAGTGAGGTTTTCGAACACTTACCCGGACCTGGGTTCACAATATTATGCCTCTCTCAGTTCTGGGCTTAGAAGATTGTCAGCCATCTTCAGAGCTGGCAAAGATGCTCAGTGCTGGAGGACTCAGAATATTACCTGGAAAATGGACAATTTGGCTCTTGAGCTAGAAAACACCATTCACACAGAAAAGTAGCATGTGTGGGCTGAGGGGACCCAGCCGGCCAAGCCAATAACTGCAGCACAGTCTCAACTCCTCCTCTTTCTTCATCCTCCTTTCCGTCACCTGCCGTCTGTGAGCCTCTCTGCCCTCCATCGCATGGACACAACCTCGAGCTCTGGCCTGCACCTCTCTCCCAGTCAATGGTGCTACCAGTCTCCTCCTCTGTCCCATCCCTCTTCTGACAGTCAGAGAGGTACCTTCTTCACAAGATGGCTGGAAGCCAGGCCGTGGACACGAGACCTCTGCAGTTCCAAATCCCAGGCTCTCACTGTAGGTGGGATAACCAGAGACCTGCCCTGGGGGCCCTCTGGGACGGGCGGCGCTTAGTGCGCCGCCAAGGCTAGCCGACATTGGTTGCCAGATAACTCCTCCGCCACTATGGCTGCTTGCTGTCTGCTGAGCTGGGCTGCTGCTCCTCCTTGCCTGCCAGGTGACCCACATTGGCACCGCGAACAGTCCGACTTTAATCCATTCCAGGCTAATCTCCTTCTGGTCGGGTGTAAATGCCTCTGATCCTCCAGCACTCCTCCTCAAAGTGCAGCTCACCTCGTCCTCTCTACTGGCTACCAACAGGTGCAATGCTCCAAGGTCCTGCTCCTACATGCACAAATATTAAAAATTGCTAAGAGGACAGGCCCAGTGGCTCACACCCATAATCCCAGCACTTTGGAGGCTGATGAGGACTCAGATGAGGCCAGGATTTTGAGACCAGTCTGGGCAACATAGTGAGATTACATTTTTACTCCCCAAAATTCATTTTTAAATTGTTATAAAGTGGGTAGTCAGTACCAGTTCCGCTACTCAGGAGGCTGAGGGAGGATTGCTTGAGGCAGGAATTCGAGGTTGCAGTGAGCTGTTCACAGTACATTCTAGCTCAGGAGGAGTGAGACTCTGTCTCAAAAAAAAAAAAAAATACAGAAAGGGCTCTCTCAACTCCCCGTCTCCTGGCACTTTCTTGTCCCACTCTTCCCAGAACAGCACCCTTAGCAGAAACCTGCAAGGGGGCTCTCCAACTCCCCCTGCACAAAGTCTAGACGAGGAAGGAGGAAGGTCAGGGCTCCCTCTCCCAGCTGAGGGCTCCAAGGTGAATCCCGGACTGGTGCACACGCAGGACCTTAGGCTGGTGCACACACAGAATCCCCAGGCTGTTAAAATGCAGAACCCCAGGCTGGCACACATGTGCAGGCTCCCAGACCCTGCTCCAGTGCCCTCCTCCCCGGGGCGGAGACACAATCACTCATCCAGCTCTTCTGCTTATGTACTTGATTTGGTTAACTGGACACATAGATGCAAAGGCAGACAGATCTAAGCAATGTCACATGCAGTCGCAATTGGCTCTGAATGCACACTGGCAGTGACACCTCCAGCCAAGAGGAACTAGAGACACCAGCGCCATTCTGCAGCATGAGCCCTTTGCTGCTCTGGTGCTATCTTGGGGCTGAAGAAACTGGGGACACAGCTATCTCCATGTGAGGCGCTGTGTTGAATCATGTCCTCCAAACTCATGTTCACTCCAGAACCCTGAATGACTCCTTTGACACAGGGAGGGGAATAACACACTGAGCCTGCTGGGGTAGGGCAAGGGTGGGGTGAGCATCAGAAAACTAGCTGCACGCAAGAATGACAATTTAGGTGATGTGGCTGATAGGTACAGTAAAGCACCATGGCACACATTGCCTGCATAATTCTGCACATCCTGCATAAAATTCTGAAACTAAACTAAACTAAACTAAAAGAATGTGACCTTAGGTGGCAATAGGTCTTTTATAGATGTCAATAAGGTAAGGATCCAGAAATGAGATTGGGTGGATGGGGGTGGCTCCCACCTGTAATCCCAGCACTGTGGGAGACCAAGGCGGGAAGATCGCTTAAGTCCGGGAGTTCAAGACCAGCCTGAGCTACGTGCAAACCCCATCTCTACAAACCCAGCTGGGTGTGGTAGTGATGCCTGTGGTCCCAGCCGCCGGGAGGCCAAGGTGGGAGGGGATCAATTGAGCCTGGGAGGTTGTGGGACCGGCAGTGAGCCGTGATGGTGCCACTGTACTCCAACCTGAGCATAGAGTGAGACCCTGTCCTGAAAATAATAAATAATAAAAATAAAAATGAGATTATTCCCAAATAAGGCTGCTTCCTAAATCCAATGACTGGTGCCCTTCGGCTAGAAGAGG